GTTTTTTGTGCCTTTCGAAGGGGAAGAAGCCAACACAAGCTTCTTTCTATCTACCTTTACATATCGATCTCAGCGTGAGATGCCAGGTAGTAGGGGTGGCCTTGGATTGCGCCCGTGCTTAGCGGGGAATCGAAGCACATTCGAAAGACATGGTACGCTGTTCGAGATGTGTATGTCAAGCGTTTGCCGTTGCATGGTCTTGGCGGTCGCGTTAATGGGAAAATCCATCATCGCATCGGCCGTTGCCGCCCGTTCATGTCACCTCTCTGTGATGAATGCCCGTCGCCGAGGCGGCACCGCCGGAGGAGCGAGGCGACGAGACAGTAAGGAGGAAACGGCGATGGCGGCGTTGATTGATTTTTTCAGCCATAATGTCGGTTCATTAATTCGAACGACTAAGTACTGAAAGGGGAACGGCACGCAGCGGCTTTCGCCTTTCGTCATAGTCGACGGCGGCGGTTTTGGAACTGCTGACCACTGGTCGACCGACCGACCGACGATGATTGAATGACCGTCGCGTCGCTGCTCCGAGGACAAACGTCGAGTCGTTATTCCCATTACTTAGCGCCACGATGTTCCTGGCACCGTGATATCAATGATCAGTGATTTAAGTGGCTTGGCGACCGTCCGTCATTACTTAATCGTCCTTAGAGATGGCCCATTTAATTTGCCACCGTCGGAAGAAATTCCCACTAATCGCTTTTTTCCTCCGGCGTTGTTTCTCAGCTGTTTATGTTTTATGTTTTTTTTTGTCTTACTGCGTCTATTGTTTTAGTAAATAATACTGAGACAAATATGTTTACAGTTTCAGCAGTTTTGTTACCGGCGCCTTGCGTTCGATAGTTGACAATATCACTGTCATCAACGGCTAGCGGAATTTCAGTAGAGTACAGTAACCCGGATTTATGATATCTTGCCTTTAGAAGTTGAGTCTCAGATTCATATTCGGCAGCATTCATTGTTGCGGCAAAATCATGTTCCTTTTCGCAAGCAGGTCCGTCTCAACGAGGTGTAGGTGTTCCCATGTTTTGTATTGTCTTCCAACGAGTCTGTTGCTGTTTCTGGTTCATGTAGGCGTGAAACGTTTTTATTATATGCTTATTCTATTTCTGAGCCGTTTTATTTGTTAAACCAAGCCACGCACCGATCTCCGAGTTTAAATGATCGTTTTATCAGACCGGTGGTCATCGATGCTTGTTCTTTGTTGACCCCGTGGTACAGTGGCACTTTCACGATACTTCGCAGACAGCGTTGTCTGAAGCTGTTTAAACGAGTTTCATTGACGCTTAGAGACCGCATGTTCGACTGCTTTCAGAAGGATGATTGCTTCGTGCCCGGTTTTATAGTCCGGTCGTTCCGTGTATCATAATTCGCAGATGCCGGACCAATTCGTCGGTTCACTTCGGCATCAGTTATATATTTTGACGATTTAATAGTTATCGATCGATATCAAGGAGAGAAACATATCGCTTTACTTAAGCTAGCCACTGTTTGCTCCTTGTTAACTACAGGCCACTCAGGGAACAATGAGAGAAAATTATTTTCCTTAACGAAATTACAAATGTAGGTCGCTGAGAAAAATTGCTATGACACAAAGAATTGATCTCTATGCTCGAGATATGTCGCATGAATTCTCAGAACTATTACATGCCAAAACTGGTTATTTATTTATATTTTATTATTATTTTTATTAT